TTTTTATGGTTTTGGGTTTTACATTTAAGTCTTCAGTCCATCTTGAGTTAATTTTTGTATAAAGTGTAAGGAAGGGGTCCAGTTTCAGTTTTCTGCATATGGCTAGCCAGTTTCCCCAGCACCATTTATTAAATGGAGAATCCTTTTGCCATTGCTTGTTTTCTCAGGTTTGTCAAAGATCAGATGGGTATTTCTGAGATCTCTATTTTGTTTCATTGGTTTATGTGTCTGTTTTGGTACCAGGATGTAAGCCATTTTGATTGGGGTGAGATGATTCTTATTGTAGTTTTGATTTGCTTTTCTCTGATGATCAGTGATGTTGAGTACATTTTTGTATGCCTGTTTGTCATTTGTATGTTTTCTTTTGAGAAACATCTATTCAAATATTTTTCCCATTTTCAAATTGGGTTATTAGATTTTTTCCAATAGAGTTGTTTAAGCTCCTTATATATTCTGGTTATTAATCCGAATATTTTCTCCTATTTTGTAGGTTTGTCTTTTCACTTTACAAATATTTCCCCCATTTTGTGGGCTGTCTTTTCACTTGGTTGACTGTTTTATTTGCTTTGCAGAAGTTTTTAAACTTGATATGAGCCCATCTGTCCATTTTTGCTTTGGTTGCCTGTGCTATTGAAATATTGTTCAAAAATTTTTTTAAACTAATGTCCGGGAGATTTTTCTCAAAGTTTCCTTGTAGTAATTTTGTAGTTTGAGGTCTTCGATTTTGATTTGTTTTTGTACATGGTGAGACATAGGAGTCTAGTTTTATTCATCTGCATATGGATATCCAGTTTTCCCAGCACCATTTATTGAAGAGACTGCTTTTTCTTTAGTGTGTGTTCTTGGTCCCTTTGTAAAAAATGAGTTCACTGTAGGCATGTGGATTTGTTTCTGGGTTCTCTATTCTGTTTCATTGGTCTATATGTCTATTTTTATGCCAGTATCATGCTGTTTTGGTTACCACAGCTCTGTAGCATAATTTGAAGTCAGGTAATGTGATTCCTCCAATTTTGTTCTTTTAAAAATTTATTTACTACTTAACATCTCAGTTCTGCAGAGTCTAAGGTGACTTTTTTTTCTTATTATCATGCTTTAAATTCTGGGATACTTGTGCAGAACGTGCAGGTTTTTAATGTAGGTATACATGTGGTACGATGGCTTGCTGCACCCCTCAACCCATCTCTACGTTAGTGTTTCTCCTAATGCTATTCTTCCCCTTACCCCCTACTTCCTGACACCCTGGTGTGTGATGTTCCCCTCCCTGTATCCATCTGTTCTCATTGTTCAACTCCCACTTATGAGTGAGAACATGTGGTGTTTGGTTTTCTGTTCCTGTGTTAGTTTGCTGAGAATGATGTTTTCTGTCTTCATCCATGTCCCTGCAAAGGACATGAACTCATTCTTTTTTGTGGCTACATAGTATTCCATGGTGCATATGTGCCACATTTTCTCTATCCAGTCTATCACTGATGGGCATTTGGGTTGGTTCCAAGTCTTTGTTATTGCAAGTAGTGCTGCAGTAAACATACATGTGCATGTGTTTTTATGGCAGAATGATTTATAATCCTTTGGGTATATACCCAGTAATGGGATTACTGGGTCAAATGGTATTTCTTGTTCTAGATCCTTGAGGAATCACCACACTGTCTTCCACAATGGTTGAACTAATTTACACTTCCACCAACAGTGTAAAAGCATTCCTATTTCTCCACATCCTCCCCAGCATCTGTTGTTTCCTGACTTTTTAATGATCACCATTCTAACTGGCATGAGATGGTATTTCATTGTGGTTTTGATTTGCATTTCTCCAATGACCGGTGATGATGACCTTTTTTCCATATGTTTCTTGGCCCCATAAATGTCTTCTTTTAAGAAGTGCCTGTTCATATCCTTTGCCCACTTTTTGATGGGACGTTTTTTTCTTGTAAATTTGTTTAAAATCCTTGTAGATTCTGTATATTAGCCCTTTGTCAGATGGATAGATTGCAAGAATTTTCTCCCATTCTGTAGGTTGCCTGTTCACTCTAATGATAGTTTCTTTTGCTGTGCAGAAGCTCTTTAGTTTAATTAGATCCCATTTGTCAATTTTAGCTTTTATTGCCATTGCTTTTGGTGTTTTAATCATGAAGTCTTTGCCCATGCCTATGTCCTAAATAGTATTGCCTAGGTTTTCTTCTAGGGTTTTTATGGTTTTAGGTCTGATGTTTAAGTCTTTAATCCATGTTGAGTTAATTTTTGTATAAGGGCTAAGGAAGGGGTCTGGCTTCAGTTTTCTGCATATGGCTAGCCAGTTTTCCCAACACCATTTATTAAATGGAAAATCCTTTCCCCATGAAGGTGAGTCTGTTAAGGAGTACTGACTCATGTGATCACAAGGTGAAGTCCCACAATAGGCCTTCTATAAGCTGAGGAGCAGGGAAGTCAGTCCACATCTCAAAACCTCAGAAGTAGGGAAGCCAATAGTGCAGCCTTCAGTTTGTGACCAAAAACCTGAGAGACCCTGGCAAACCACTGGTGTAAGTTCAAGAGTCCAAAAGCTGAAGAACCTGGAATCTGAGGGTTGAGGGCAGGAAGCATCCAGCATGGAAGAAGGATGAAGGCTGGAAGACTCAGCAAGTGAAGTTCTTCCACACTCTTCTGCCTGCTTTATTCTAGCCACGCTGGCAACTTATTACATGGCATCCACCCACATTGAGGGTGGGTCTGCCTCTCCCAGCCCACTGACTCAAATGTTAATCTCCTTTGGCAACACCCTCAGAGACACGTCCAAGAACAATACTTTGCATCCTTCAATTCAATCAAGTTGACACTCAGTATTAACCATCACATAGGCACTTATAGTTATACATTTCCCTCTTAGTATTGCTTTCATTGTAGCCCATAGGTTTTGGTATATTGTATCACCATTATTTTTCATTTCAAACATTTTTCAACTTTCTTCCTAATTTCTTCATTGACCCACTGGTCATTCAGGAACATATTGCTTAATTTCCACATGTTTGTATATTTTCCAAAATTTTTCTTGCTGTTGATTTCTAGTTTTATGAGAAATTCTTTATCAACAGGTGAGACTTGATTTTATTTCCATTTTTTGAATGTTTTAAGACTTTTTCTGTGCCCTAACATCTGTTCTATCCTTGAGAATGATCCATGCACTAAAGAGAACAATGCGTGTTCTGCAGCCTTTGGATAAAATGTTCTGTAAATATCTATCAGGTCCATTTAGTCTATAGTGTAGATTAGGTCTGATGTTTCTTTGTTGAGTTTCTGTGTGAAAGATCTGTTCAATGCTTAAAGTGAAGTGTTGACGTCTCCAGATATTATTTTATTAAGACCTATCTCTCTCTTTGGCTCTATATGCTAAAGAGAGCATATAGAACTGTCTTTATGTATTTGCTTTATGTAAAGCAATTTGTAAATATTTGCTTTATATGGCTGAGTACCTCAGTGTTGGGTGCATATATATTTACAATTATTACATCCTGTAGCTAGATTGAGATCTTTATCATTACATAATGAACTTTTCTTATAATTTTTGTTTTGAAATATATTTTGTCTAATATAAGTATAGCTGCTTTTGCTCTTTTTTGGTTTCCATTGGCACACACCTTTGTTTTCAGTCCATATATATCTTTATGGGTAAAATGTGTTTCTTTTCTTTCTTTTTTTTTTTTTTTTTTGAGATGGAGTTTCACTCTTGTTACCCAGGCTGGAGTGCAATGGCACGATCTCGGCTCACCGTAACCTCTGCCTCCTGGGTTCAGGCAATTCTTCTGCCTCAGCCTCCTGAGTAGCTGGGATTACAGGCACATGCCACCATGCCCGGCTGATTTTTTGTATTTTTAGTAGAGATGGGGTTTTACCATGTTGACCAGGATGGTTTCGATCTCTTGACCTTGTGATCCACCCGCCTTGGCCTCCCAAAGTGCTGGGATTACAGGCTTGAGCCACCACGCCTGGCCCGAAATGTGTTTCTTTTAGGTAACAGATAAATGGGTCTTTTTTTAAAAAAAAAAATCTATTCAGTCACTCGATGTCTTTTCATTAGAGAATTTAGTCCATTTACATTCAATGTTATTATTGATAAGTAGGGGCTTACTCCTGCCATGTTGTGATTTGTTTTCTGATTGTTTTTCAGTCTTTTTTTCTTCTTTCCTTCCTTCCTGTCTTGTGTGTGTGTGTGTGTGTGTATGTGTGTGAAGGTGATTTTCTCTGCTAGTATGATTTAACTTCTTGCTTTTTGTTTTTGCTGTATCCATTTTTTGTATGCTTTTTGATTTGAGATTACCATGAAGCTTGCAAATACTATTTATAACTCATTATTTTAAACAGATGGCAACTTAACACTGATCGCATAAAAATACAACCAAACAAACACACAAAAAGAAAACTAATACAAACTCTACACTTTAACTTCGTTCTCCTGCTTTTAAGTTTTTGTTGTTTCTCTGTGTCTTATTGTACTATGTCTTGATGTCTTGAAAAGTTATTGTAATTATTATTCTTGATTAGTTCATCATTTAGTCTTTCTACTTAAGAGAAGTTTATACACCACAACTACAATGTTACAATATTCGGTGTTTTTCTATGTGCTTACTATTACCAGTGCGTTTTGTACCTTCAGGTCATTTCTTTTCGCTCATTAACATCCTTTTTTTTTTCAGATTGAATAACTTCCTTTAGCCTTTCCTATAGGACAGATTTGGTGCTGATGAAATTCCTCAGCTTTTGTTTGTTTGGGAAGGTCTTTATTTCTTCTTCATGCTTGAAGGATATTTTCATCAGATACAATATTCTAAGACATAAGTTATGTCTTTTTCCTTCAGCACTTTAAGTATATGTCATGCCACTCTCTCCTAGCCTGTAAGGTTTCCTTGAAAAGTCTGCTGCCAGATGTACTGAAACTCCATTATATGTTGTTTCTTTTCTCTTGCTACTTTTAGAATTGTTTTCTTTATCCTTGACCTTTGGGAGTTTCATTATTAAATGCCTTGAGGCAATCTTCTTTGAGTTACATCAGCTTGGTGTTGTATAACTTTATTGTACTCAAATGTTTATTTCCTCTAGGTTTGGGAAGTTCTCTGATATCCTTTTGAATAAACTTCCTATCTCTTTCTTCCTCCTCTTTTAAGGCCAAAAACTTTTTTTTTTTGAGGTGGAGTCTTGCTCTATAACCCAGGCTGGAGTGCAGTGGCATGATCTCAGCTCACTGCAACCTCCGCCTCTCGGGTTCAGGTGATTTCTCCTGCCTCAGCCTCTCGAGTAGCTGGGAAGACAGGAGTGCACCACAACCCTTGGCTAAAGCAGTGTTGAGATTTCACCATGTAGGTCAGGCTAGTCTTAAACTCCTGACCGCAAGTGATCCACCCACTTCAGCCTCTCAAAGTGTTGGGATTATTGTGTGAGCCACTGTGCCTGGCAGGTCAAAAACTCTTAGTTTTGCCCTTTTGAGGCTATTTCCTAGATCTTGTAGGGGTGCTTTATTCTTTTTTTTTTTTTGTCTCCTCTGACTGTGTATTTTCAAATGTCTGTCTTCAAGCTCAGTAATTCTTCTGCTTGATCAACTCTGCTATAAAAGACTCTGATGCATTCTTCTGTATGTCAATCGAATTTTTCAACTCCAGAATTTCTGCTTGATTCTTTTTAATTATTTTTATCTCTTTGTTAAATTTGTCTGATAGAATTGTGAATTCCCTCTCTTTATTATCTTGAGTTTGTTTTGAGTTTCCTCAAAACAGCTATTTTAAATTCTCTGTCTGAAAGGTCTCATATCTTTGTTACTCCATAATTGGTCCCTGGTGCCCTGTTTAATTCATTAGTTAAGGTCATGTTTTCCTGATGGTGTCGATGCTGTCAGATGTTCTTTGGTGTCTAGGCATCAAAGATTTAGATACTTACTGCAGCCTTTGCAGTCTAGGCTTGTTTGGGCCCATTCTACTTGAGGACACTATTCAGGTATTTGAAGGGACTTGGACCCAAGATTCAGATATTTGCAGTAGCCTTTGCAATCTGGGTTTGTTTGGGCTTATCCTCCTTGAGGAAACTTTTCAGGTGTTTGAAGGGACTTGGATTTGGCTGTAGTTTTTACAGACTCATGGGGTACCACATTGGTGGTCTTGGATAATTCAGAGGAGAAAGAGAGTCTCTCTCCCTCTTTGCTGAACAGCCTGGAACTGGGGATGTGGTAATATAAGCACTCCTGTGGCCATGACCACTGGAACTGTCTGGGTCAGGCATGAAGCCAGCCCAGCACTGGGTCTTGCCCAAGGCCTGCTGTAACCATTACCTGCCTTCCACCTATGTTCATGCAAGACCATGGGGCTATATGAACAGCAGGTGGCAAAGCCAGGCAGATTTGTGTCCTTCTCTTCAGTGCAGCGAGTTCCCCCAAACCCTGGGCAGGTCCAGAGATATTGTCTGGGAGCCAGGGAGTAGAGTGAAAGACCTTAGAAATTTGCCTGATATTCTATTCTACTGCAGCTAAGGTGGCACTCAAACCAGAATACAAAGTCCTTCTCACGCTTTCTTCCCCTTTCCACAAGGCAGAGGAGCCTCTCTCTGTGGCCACCACCACAACTGGCCTATGGCAGGTCTTGCCAGGCTACCACTGATATTCACTTAAAGCACAAGGGCTCTTTAGTCAGCTTGTGGTGAATGCTGTCAGGCCTGGGATGCACCCTTCGGGGCAGTGGACTCCCTTCTGTCTCAGGGCAGGCCCAGAAATGCTATCCAAGAGCCTGGTCCTGGACTCAGGGACCCCAAGAGGCTTCTTGTTGCTTGATCCCCCTGTGGTCTAGCTGGTACCTAAGGTGCAAACAAAGTCCCCTTTACTTTTTCCTCTGCTTTTCTCAAACAGAAGGAAACTTTTGCTGTAGTCACCACAGCTGGAAATGTGCTGAGTCATACTTGTAATCAGCATATCTCAGATCTCAAGACCCACCGTGTCACTGGTGGTTATTCAGGGCCCAAGGATTCTTTAGCCAGTAGATAATGAATTTTGCCAGGACTGGGTCCTTCCCTTCAAGATAGTGGGCTCGCTTTTAGCTCAAGGTGTGTCTAAAAATGTCTGGGAACTAGAGCCTGGAATGGGGAACTCATGACTCTGCCCAGTGCCCTATCCTACTGTGGCTGAGCTGGTATCCAAGATGCAAGAGAAAGTCATTGTTACTCTTCACGGTGAAAGACTTTCATTGCTGTGAGCTACACTGCCTGTGGTTGGGGAAGGGGCAGTGCAAGTACTCCTGTAGCTACCCTGGCTATTATCTTCCTAGGTCACCCGCTACCCTAGTCCTCTGGCTCTGAGCCCAGCCCAACACTGGGAGCTACCTAGGAATTGCAGTCCTTGTGTCCTAGACTGCCTTTCAAATTTACCTAGGACCCCAGAGCACTTTGGCTTGCAGTGGTGAGGCTTGCTGAGAGCAGTGGTCAGATGTGTGGTCATATACTGATTCGTGGGCTATAGCCAATGGTTTGGCTGGATTCTCAGTGACTTGGAAGACACATGATTGGAAAACTGGTGACAAAGAAATCTAGGGAAGAGGTATGTGGATAGACTTCTCAGAGTGGTCAAAAACTGTGAAGATATTTGTATTCCATGTGAGCTCTCACCAATGGGTGACCTCAGCAGAGGAGGATTTTAGTAATCAAGTGGGCAGGATTACCCATTCTGTGGACACCACTCAGCCTCTCTTTCCAGCCATCCCTGTCATGGCCAGATGGGCCCATGAACAAAGTGGCCATGGTGGCAAGGATGGAGGTTACACATGGACTCAATAACATGGATTTCCACTCACCAAGGCTGACCTGGCTATAGCCACTGCCGAATGCCCAATTTGCCAGCAGCAGAGACCAATGCTGGACTCTTGATATAGCACCATTCCTTGGAGTGATCAGCCAGCTACCTGGTGGCAGGTTGATTATATTGGACTTCTTCCATCATGGAAAGGGCAGAGGTTTGTCCTCACTGGAATAGAAATGTGTTTGCCTATCCTGCATGCAATGCTTCTGCCAAGCCTACCATCTGTGGACTCATGGAATGCCTTATCCGCCATCATGGTATTCCACACAGCATTGCCTCTGACCAAGGTACTCACTTTATGGCTAAAGTGGGCTCATGCTCGTGGAAGTCACTGGTTCTACTGTGTTCCCTATCATTACGAAGCAGCTGGCTTGATAGAACAGTGGTATGGTCTTTTCAAACCACAACTACAATGTCAACTAGTTGACAATACCTTGCAGGGCTGGGGCAAAGTTCTCCAGAAGGCTGTGTATGCTCTGAATCAGTGTCCAATATATGGTACTGTTTCTCCCGTATCCAGGATTCACGGGTTCAGAAATCAAGGGGTGGAAGTGGAAGTGGCACCACTCACCATTACCCATAGTGATCCACTAGGAAAATTCTCATGACATTACATTCTGCTGACCTAAAGGTCTTAGCTCCAGAGGGAGGAACACTGCCAGCAGGAGATACAACAATGATTCCATTAAACTGGAAGTTAAGATTGTTACCTGGACACTTTGGGCTTCTCCTACCTTTAAGTCAACAGGCTAAGAAGAGAGTTACAGTGTTGGCTTGGGTGACTGACCTGGACTGTCAAGTTGAAATCAGTCTACTACTCTACAGCAGAGGTAAGGAAGAATACGAATGGAATACAGGAGATCCATTAGGGCATCTCTGAGTATTACCATGCCCTTTGATTAAGGTCAATGGGAAACTACAATAGCCCAATCCAGGCAGGACTACAATTTGCCCAAACCCCTCAGGAATGACAGTTTGGGTCACCCTACCAGGAAAAATCCCATGACTTGCTGAGGTGCTTGCTGAAGGTAAAGGGAATACAGAATGGGTAGTAGAGGGTAGTCATCAATACCAGCTATGACCACATTGACCAGCTGCAGAAACAAGATTGTAATTGTCATAAGTATTTCCTCCTTCTTTTGTTAAAAACATGTTTGTGCATGTATACACTTGTACTAAGAAAATATATTTTATTTCCTTTTTCTTTATCATAAGATTAATTGATTTTATGTCAGCATTTATGTATTGTTAACTTGGTGTAATAGTATTTGGATTGGGGATTGGTGCATTTCTGGTTGTGCAAAGGATAGCTGCATTATGTTAAATTTAATTGTGACCTTATTGTTGTTGTTATTTGAAGATTACATGTGATCTCAGGAGATGTGTGTGGGTTCAATTTGACAAGGGGTGGGCTTGTGATGGTTAATACTGAGTGTCAACTTGATTGGATTGAAGGATTCAAACTATCGATCCTGGGTGTGTCTGTGAGGGTGCTGTCAAAAGAGATTAACATTTGAGTCAGTGGGGTGGGGAAAGCAGATCTACCCTTAATCTAGTGGGCACATTCGAATCAGCTGACTGTTAATATAGAGCAGGCAGAAAAACGTGAAAAGAAGAGATGGGCCTAGCCTCCCAGTATCTTTCTCCCATCCTGGATGCCTACTGCCTTCGAACATTGGACTCCAAGTTCTTTGTTCTGGGACTCAGACTAGCTCTCCTTGTGCTTCAGCTTGCAGACAGCCTATTGTGGACCTTGTGATCATGTAAGTTAATACTTAATAGGCTCCTCTTTATAGATCTAGCTTAATTTTGCAGCTCAGAAATTTCTTTAAGAACTGAATTTTATGGCTTTTTTCATGGTAGGGTGCTCCAAACTGTCATTTCTGAGGGGCTTGGCCCAACTGTAGTATTGCCTGGATTGGGCTGTTGTAGTTTCCAATTGACCTTAATCATTTATATATAAATCTATAAATAAATAAGTAAACATACATATATATATATATATATATATATCCTATTAGTTCTATTGTCCCTCTGGAGAGCCCTAATACAGATGCCACCGAATATTGGTCCATAGCAATAAAACACATATTTGCTGTTAATTATATAGTCCCAATCTCAGCCAGTCCTGTTAGAATTGGAGACTATTCCACTTGTAATTTTTATATCCTTTCCTCAGTTACACTTCCCTTCCACCTATAGGGACTAGAGTAGTGACATTTAAGTAAAAGGGGCTATTTTAAAAAAATATGGTGTTTAACCATCTGGGGTAATATGAGTTACTGAATTGGGGTTACTCTGATTTTTTTAAAAAAAGCCTTGTTACAAATTTTAAACAAATCAATGTTTTAATGTTAATAAGAAAAATTTATAAATTTCTCCTACACTCCTACAATCCCTATCCTTGAATTAATTGATGTTAACACTTTAATATATAATTTATCTCCTCTTGTGCTAGTCTCACTCTGTGTGTGTGTGTAAAATGGGGCCATGTGTTTTATAAAAATACCTACATGAGTCACTTAGGATGCATTCAGTTACAGGGAATAGAAAACTCAATTTAATTGGCTTCAACAAGCAAATGTATTGGTTTATATAGCTAGAAATTTCAAAAGTTAAGACAAGTTTTGGTGTTAGCTTAATTTGGCAGCTCAGAAATTTCTTTAAGGGCTGAATTTCTTTATATATATATATTATTTCTGGGATATCTGCTTCATCCCAAAGCTTATTCCTCAAGTGATGGCAACATGGCTACCAACATCCTCTGAAACCACCTCTTCCAACCCGGAAGAGTGAGTGTCCCCTCCCCAGCCACTGGGCAGTGTCCTAGGCTTCCCTCTCATTGGACCATCTTGATCATGTGCCTTTACTGGGCCTGGAGACTGTCCTATGTTGATTGGCTTAGATCTGGCTTATGTGCTGGTTCCTGAAACAAACACTGTGCCAAGAGCAGGATATCCTTGTAGTTCAATTTAGCTGAATCTGGACCTCCTGCGCTGGAGCTGAGGATGGAGTAAGTACCAGCCAAACTGCCTGGACATTACCCAGTGCTGTGGGGGTGGAACGGACGCTGAGCAGCTCACCCTAATACCCAATTCATCATAGAAAAAGGACAGGAAGGATATACCCCAAAGTACCTACAGCAGTTATTTTCAAGTGGTGGTACTATGGGGATTTTTTATTTTCTTTTTTATGCTTATCTGTATTTTACATTTTTGACAACAAGCATATATTGTGTGAATAATTTCAAGGAGAAATGAAAGCTATAAATATGAGGAAAAGCTGGTATATAACACTGGCAAGTAATTAGCAGCTTGAGGGATTTAAAACAGACGTGTTGGCAAACAGGAAATATGCATTTTCAGAATGGTACCAACTGTGCCTTGCAGAAGCTTCCAACTGCCTTTGTCTTGCCTCTGTTACATAATCGCGGTCATTTCTACAGACTTAATCTGAGATCTCTGAAGGCTAGTCTGGCTTAAAACTACCAGTTCCAGTGGCTTGCATTTTCCTCTTCTATATGGGTGGGGAAGACTTTTGAGCTTTCCCTTAGAGACACTTTCCCTTATGGGCATGAGAGTGTGTGCCTCTTTGCAGAAGGACCCCTGTATGCAGAAGAAGGGGCGCTGGCCTCGGCTTCCTTCACTTCCTCTTGGACAGAAGACACTGAGCATTCTTTCACTAAGTGGTCACCCCAGGGGTCCTCAGCTTTCTCAGACTTTCTGCAGCTCTCTATATGGTGAATCACAGAGCGACACTGGCAGCAGGCACCATGGAAAGGACCCTCAAATCTGAAGGCTCAAGGCGCTGGGAAAAGATGAAGTGGAGCCTGCTCCTTGGTTTCCTACTGTTAGATGCTGGGTGTTGGAAGTTCTTCCTTGGATTCACAAAGAAACTCCTGCTGTTCTTCCACATACTTTTTCCTGGGAAAGACAACTTGTTTCACTGTCAGAAAAGATCCCCACTGTTAAAGTGACGTGAGGATGTCTAATGTCAGGGTAGGCATCTGCATTCTCACTTTGATTTCTGCTTGAAGCTGATTCTCAGATTTTCTGCACTTTCAGAAATTTGATTTTATCTGACCATGCCCTTCTGGAGTTATTCTGTTGTGATGGTAAGCAATAAACTGGCATTTTAGTGTCATGATGAGAGCTATACTTACTGAAAGGATGGAAATGCTCTAGGTTGAGCAGTCATGCTCTTTTCCTCTTCTCAGTAGGAAAATACAGTGTAGGGGAGGAAATGAAGATGGACATTGGATGGTCTTAAGGAAGCATTCTGTGTTTCTCCTGGTTATGTCTCCACCCTACCAGAATGCACATTTCACAAGAGGTAAGGACCTTAACTGTCTCGTTCAGTGTTGTATCCACAGCATCTAGAATAGGCAGTGATACTCGGTGCATATGTAATGAATGAACGAATCAAAGGCTGCCTCGCTGGATGGATGAATCCTTATTTTTCAAGGATCGGTGTCCCCTGGGAAGTCTTTTTTGTTGTTGTTCTTTATTGATATTGTAAGCTTTGTTTTATTTTTATTTTTAAATTTCCTTGGCTTTTTTCTATAATTTTTAATTTTTAATCTTTGTGGATACATAGAAGGTGGATGCATTTATAGAGTACATGAGATATCTGTAATAATCACATCATGGAAAATGGGGTATCCATCCCTTCAAGCATTTATCCTTCATGTTACAATTATACTTTTAGTAACTATACAATTATACTTTTAATAATTATAAAATGTAGAATTGATGATAGTCAATAGTCTTTGTGCTACCAAATACTAGGCCTTATACATTCATTTTAACTATATTTTTGTACCCATTAACCACCCCCACTTTCCTCCCACCACCCCCACCTCCCATTACCTTTCTTAGCCTCTGTTTGCCAATCTTCCACTCTCCAACTCCAAGGGTTCAATTGTTTTGATTTTTAAATCCCACAAATAAGTGAGAACATATGTTTGTATTTCTGTGCCTGCTATTTCGCTTCACATAATGAACTCCAGTTCCATTTATATTGTTGCCCATCAAATGACAGGATTTCATTATTTTTTAAATGCTTAAATAGTACTTCATTGTGTAGGAGTACCACTTTTTCTTTCTTTTTTTTTAAATTATGCTTTAAGTTCTGGGGTACATGTGCAGATCTTGCAGGATTGTTATATCGGTATACACATGTCATGTTGGTTTGCTGACTCCATCCTCCCATCACCTACATTAGATATTTCTCCTAATGTTATCCCTCCCCAACCTCCCCACCCCCTGCTATCGCTGCCCTAGAACCCCCACCACCTAACAGACCCCAGTGTGTGATGTTCCCCTCCCTATGTCCATGTGTTCTCATTGTTCAACACCTACCTATGAGTTAGAATGTGTGGTGTTTGGTTTTCTCTTCTTGTGTCAGTTTGCTGAGAATGATGGTTTCCAGATTGGTTTCCTGCAAAGGACATGAACTCATCCTTTTCTGTGGCTGCAAAGTATTCCATGGTGTGTATATGCTGCATTTTCTTGATTCAGTCTATTATTGATGGGCATTTGGGTTGGTTCCAGGTCTTTGATATTGTAAACAATGCCACAATGAACATATGTGTGAATGTGTCTTTTTTTTTTTTTGAGACGGAGTTTCGCTCCTGTTACCCAGGCTGGAGTGCAATGGCGCGATCTCGGCTCACCGCAACCTCCGCCTCCTGGGTTTATGCAATTCTCCTGCCTCAGCCTCCCGAGTAGCTGGGATTACAGGCATGTGCCACCATGCCCAGCTAATTTTTTGTATTTTTTAGTAGAGACATGTGTCTTTATAATAGAATGGTTTATAATCCTTTGGGTATATACCCAGTAATGGGATTGCTGGGTCAAATGGTATTTCTATTTCTAAGGCCTTGAGGAATGGCCACACTGTGTTCCACAATGGTTGAACTAATTTACACTCCCACCAACAATGTAAAAGCATTCCTATTTCTCCACATCCTCTCCAGCATCTGTTGTCTCCAGATTTTTTAATGGTTGCCATTCTAACTGGCCTGAGATGGTATCTCAATGTGGTTTTGATTTGCATTTCTCTAATGACTAGTGGTAATGAGCCTTTTTCATGTTCGTTGGCTGCATAAATGTCTTCTTTTGAAAACTGCCTGTTCATATCCCTTGCCCACTTTTTGATGGGGTTGATTGTTTTTTCCTTGTAAATTTGTTTTAGTTCTTTGTAGATTCTGGATATTTAGCCCTTTATCTGTTGGGTAGATCGCAAAATTTTTTTCCCATTCTGTTGGTTGCCGGTTCGCTCTAATGATTGTTTCTTTTGCTGTGCAGAAACTCTTAAGTTTAATTAGATCCCATTTGTCTATTTTGGCTTTTGTTGTCATTGCTTTTGGTGTTTTAGGTACGAAGTCCTTTCCTATGCCTATGTCCTGAATGGTATTGCCTAGGTTTTCTTCTAGGATTTTTATGGTGTTAGGTCTTATGTTTCAATCTTTAATCCATCTGGAGTTAATTTTTGTATGTAAGGAATGGGTCCAGTTTCAGCTTTTTGCACATGGTTAGCCAGTTTTCCCAACACCATTTATTAAACAGGGGATCCTTTCCCCATTGCTTGTTTTTGTAAGGCTTGTCAAATACCAGATGGTTGTAGGTGTGTGGCATTCTTCTGAGGTGTGTGACATTCTTCTCTGTTCTGTTCCATTGGTCTATATCTCTGTTTTGGTACCAGTACCATGCTGTTTTGATTACTGTAGCCTTATAGTATAGTTTGAAGTCAGGTAACAGGTTGCCTCCAGCTCTGTTCTTTTTGCTTAGGATTGTCTTGGCTATGCAGGCTCTTTTTGGTTCCATATGAAGTTTACAGTGGGTTTTTCCAGTTCTGTGAAGAAGGTCAATGGTAGCTTGATGGGGATAGCATTGAATCTACAAATTACTTTGGGCAGTATGACCATTTTCACAATATTGATTCTTCCTAATCATGACCATGGAATGTTTTTCCATCTGCTTGTGTCCTCTCTTATTTCCTTGAGCAGTGATTTGTAGTTCTCTTTGAAGAGGTCCTTCACGTCCTTTGTTAGTTGTATTCCTGGGTATTTTATTCTCTTTGTAGCAATTGTGAATGGGAGTTCACTTTTGATTTGTCTCTCTGTTTGTCTGTTATTGGTGTATAGGAATGCTTGTGACTTTTGTACACTGATTTTGTATCCTGAGACTTTGCTGAAGTTGCTTATCATCTTAAGGAGATTTTGGGCAGATACAATCGGGTCTTCTAAATATATAATCATGTCATCTGCAAATAGAGACAATTTGACTTCCTCTTTTCCTAATTGAATACCCTTTATTTCTATTTCTTGCCTCGTTGCTCTGGCCAGAACTTCCAGTACTATGTTGAATAGGAATGGTGAGAGAGGGCACCCTTGTCTAGTGCCAGTTTTCAAAGGGAATGCTTCCAGTTTTTGCCCATTCAGCATGATATTGGCTGTGGGTTTGTCCTAGATAGCTTTTGTTATTTTGAGATACGTTCCATTGATACCTAGTTTATTGAGAGTTTTTTTAAAAGCATAAAGCACTGTTGAATTTTGTCAAAGGACTTCTCTACATTTATTGAGATAATAATGTGGTTTTTGTCTTTCGTTCTGTTTATGTGGTGGATTATGTTTATAGATTTGTGTAGGTTGAACCAGCCTTGCATCCCTGGGATGAAGCCTATATGATCATGATGGATAAACTTTTTGATGTGCTGTTGCCAGTATTTTATTGAGGATTTTTACATCGATGTTCATCATGGATACTGGCCTGAAATTTTCTTTTTTAGTTGTGTCTCTGCCGGGTTTTGGTATCAGGATGATGTTGGTCTCATAAAATGAGTTAGGGAGTGTTTCCTCTTTTTGTATTGTTTGGAAAAGTTTCAGAAGGAATGATACCAGCTCCTCTTTGTATGTCTAATAGAATTTGGCTGTGAATCCATCTGGACCTGGACTTTTTTGGTTTGTAGGCTTTTAATTGCTGCTTCAACTTCCGACCTTGTTATTGGTCTATTCAGGGATTCAACTACTTCCTGGTTTAGTCTTGGGAGGGTGTAAGTGTCCAGGAATTTATCAATTTCTTCTACATTTACTGGTTTATGTGCATAGAGTTGTTTGTAGTAATTTTTGATGGTAGTTTGTATTTCCGTGGAATCAGTGGTGATATCTTCTTTATCATTTTTCATTGCATTTATTTGATTCTCATCTCTTTTCTTTTTAATTAGTTTGGCTAGTGACCTATCTATTCTGTTAATCTTTTCAAAAAACCAGCTCCTTGATTTTTTGAAGGTTTTTTTGTGTGTCTCTATCTCCTTCAGTTCTGTTCTGATCTTAATTATTTCTTGTCTTCTGCTAGCTTTTGTATTTGTTTGATCTTGCCCCTCTAGTTCTTTTAATTTTGATGATAGGGTGTCAATTTTAGATCTTTCCTTGCCTCTCACGTGTGCATTTAGTGCTGTAATTTTTCCTCTTGTTACTGCTTTAAAAGTGTCCCACAGATTCTGGTACATTGTGTCTTCATTCTCATTGGTTTCAAAGAACATCTTTATTTCTGCCTTTATTTCACTATTTATCCAGTAGTCATTCAGGAGCAGGTTGTTCAGTTTCCATGCAGTTGTACCATTTTGCATGAGTTTGTTAATCCTGAGTTCTAATTTGTTTGTGCTGTGGTCTGAGAGACTGGTTGTTATGATTTCCATTCTTTTGCATTTGCTGAGGAGTGATTTATTTCCAATGATGTGGCCAATTTTAGAGTAAGTGTGATGTGGTGCTGAGAAGAATGTATATTCTGTGGATTTGGGGTGGAGAGTCTTGTAGATGTCTATTAGGTTTGCTTGGTCAAGATATGAGTTCAAGTCCTGAATATCCTTGTTAATTTTCTGTCTTGTTGATCTGTCTAATATTGATAGTGGAGTGTTAAAGTCTCCTACTATTGTGTGGGAGTCTACGTCTCTTTGTAGGTCATTAAGAACTTTCTTTATGTATCTTGGTGCTCCTGTATTGGGTGCCTATATATTTAGCATAGTTAGCTCTTCTTGTTGCATTGATCCCTTTACCATTATGTAATATCCTTCTTTGTCTCTTTTGATCTTTGTTGGTTTAAAGTCTGTTTTATCAGAGACTAGGATTGCAACTCTTCCTTTTTTTTTTTTTTTTTTTGCTCTCCATTTGCTTGTTAAATCATCCTCCATCCCTTTATTTTGAGTGTATGTGTGTCTTTACACATGAGATGGGTCTCCTGAGTACAGCACACCAATAGGTCTTGACTTTTTATCCAATTTGCCAGTCTATGTCTTTTTATTGGGGCATTTAGCCTGTTTACATTTAAGGTTAATATTGTTATGTGTGAATTTGATCCTGCCATTTTGATACTAGCTGGTTGTTTTGCCCGTTACTTGATGCAGTTTCTTCATGGTGTCAATGGTCTTTACAGTTTGGTATGTTTTTGCAGTGGCTGGTACCGGTTGTTCCTTTCCATGTTTAGTGCTTCCTTCAGGAGCTCTTGTAAGGCAGGCCTGGTGGTGACAAAATCTCTCAGCAATTGCTTGTCCATAAAGGATTTTATTTCTCCTTCACTTATGAAGCCTAGTTTGGCTGGATATAAAATTCTGGGTTGAAAGTGTTTTTCTTTAAGGATTTTGAATATTGGCCACCACTCTCTTCTGGCTTATAGGGTTTCTGCCAAGAGATCCACTGTGAGTCTGATGGGCTTCCCTTTGTGGATATCCTGACCCTTCTCTCTGGCTGCCCTTAGCACTTTTTCCTTCATTTCAATACTGGTGAATCTGATGATTATGTGCCTTGAGGTTGCTCTTCTTGAGGAATATCTTTGCGGTGTTCTCTGTATTTCCTGGATTTGAATGTTGGCCTGCTTGCTAGATTGGGGAAGTTCTCCTGGATAATATCCTGAAGAGTGTTTTCCAGCTTGGATTCATTCAGGTACCCATCACATACAGGTACACTGATCAAATGTAAATTAGGTATTTTCACATAATCCCATATTTCTTAGAGGCTTTGTTCTTTTCACTCTTTTTTTCTAATCTTGCCTTCTCATTTTATTTCATTGAGTTGATCTTCAATCTCTGCTATCCTTCCTTCTGCTTGATCAATTTGGCTACTGAAACTTGTGTATGCTTCAGGAAGTTCTTGTGCTGTATTTTCCAGCTTCATCAAGTCCTTTATGTTCTTCTCTAAGCTGGTTATTGTAGTTAGCATTTCATCTAACCTTTTTTCAGGGTTCTTAGTTCCTTTGCATTGGGTTAGAACATGTACCTTTAGCTCGGAGAGGTTTGTTATTACCCACCTTCTGAAGCCTGCTTCTGTCAATTTGTCAAACTCATTCTCCATCCAGTTTTGTTCCCTTGCTGGTGAGGAGTTGTAATCCCTTAGAGGAGGAGAGGCATTCTGGTTTTTGGTGTTTTCATCCTTTTTGAACTGGTTTCTTCCCATCTTTGTGGATTTATCTACCTTTGGTCTTTGAAGTTGGTGACTTTCGGATGGGGTCTCTGAGTGGACATCCTTTTAGTTGGTGTTGCGGCTATTTCTTTCTGTTTTTTTTAGTTTTCCTTCTAACAGGCCCCTCTGCTGCAGGACTGCTGGAGGTCCACTCTAGACCCTGCTTACCTGGGAATCATCTGCAGAACAGCAAGGATTACTGCCTGTTCCTTCCTATGGTAGTTTTATCCCAGAAGGGTACCTGCCAATTGTTAGCAAGAGCTCTCCTGTATGAGGTGACTCTTTGGATATACAGGGGTCAGGGAGCCGCTTGAGGAGGCAGTCTGTCCCTTGTCAGAGCTCAAGTGCTGTGCTGGGAGCTCTGGTTGCTCCCTTCAGAGTTGCTGGGCAGGGACATTTAAGTCTGCTGCAGCAGAACTCACAACCACCCCTTTTCCCAGGTGCTCTGTCCCAGGAAGTTGTAGCTTTATTTAAAATTCCCTGATAGGCTGCTGCCTTTTTTCAGAGATGCCCTGCCCAGCAAGGAGGGAGTCTAGTCACAGTCTGCCTGCAGAGGCATTGTTGAGCTACTGCAGGCTTCCCGCAGCTGCTGTGTAAACTTTTTTGTGCTTTTGTTTACACAGGTAAGGTTAGAGCTGCCTCAGTAATGGCGGATGCCCCTCCCCCACTGAGCTCACCCATCTAGGGTCAAGCTCAAACTGCTGTGCTGGCTGTAAAAATCTCAAGCCAGTGGATTCAGTTTGCTGGTCTCTGTGGGAGTGGGACCTATAGGGCCAGATCACCTGGCTACCCGCCTTTAGCCCCCTTTCTCTCAGGGGTATGGGCAAGTCTGTCTCGCAGCTGCTTCAGGCATCAGCCAAAACAGCTGCTCAGATTTGTTCTGGGAACTCACAACTGAGTCGGCTGCCCAGATTTGCCCTGGAAATCTGTGGCACCTGTTGGCAGACAGGACTCTCCTGGTCTGTGGCCTCAAAGACTTTGGGAGAAGTGCAGCATTCAAACCGGAGCTCCAGAGTAGCCAGAGATGTCCTAATAGCCTCCACTGGGTAGGCGGGAGGGCCCTGTGGCGCATTGTACTTCCCAGGTAAGGCAGCGCTCCACCCTGCCCCAGTTTGCCCTCCTTGGGCTACACACACTGTCCAACCAGACCCATTGAGATGAACCTGGTACCTTGGTTGGAAGTGTGAGCATCACTCACCTTCTGCATCGCTCTCACTGGGAACTGCACTCCGGAGCTGTTCCTATTTGGCCATCTTGGTGGAAGTCCCTGGGAAGTCTTCTCTAACCTTTTCTAGGGAAATTAGATGCCCTCCTCTGAGTGTCTACAAGTGCTGGGATTCTGCTGCATTTTTTCATTTACTTATAGGTGTTTTGGCATTTTGCACTTAGCCTGGCACATAGTAGATACGTGTTAAATAACATAATAATGCTGTGGAAGCCTCATAAATATCTCTCAGCATGTGAAAATACTTTAAAGTAGATCAGGATCTTAACCAGAGCTCCTTTGCTTCCTCAATGTTGGTGATGCATTAGCAAGTTCTTGCCCCTTGATTTTCATGGCTTCTAAGGGAATAATCAGCCTTCTGTTTTTAGCTGTTATTACAATACCATCTATATTTGTTGAATCCACAAAATATGCTGAATGATTTTAGAGAATTAAATTTCTGGGATCAAATTGGTGCCTCCTGTTGTTGCGTAAAGAGGCACATTCATCTCATCAGCAAACTATCTGCAAGTCTTAGGGTAGGGCATATTATTTCCAGGAGGACCTCCTAGAAACAGCACATTCCTCTGGGATTGTGGCTTCTTACAGCTTTGGTTACACAAACTGAAGTTTGTGACCCCCCGATCTGGTCCCTACTCAGCTTTGACCCCTGTCTTCTATTGCCTGTGGTCCTCTGTCCACAGACTACACTCCCTTTGACAGGTATGCTTGCCTGACCAGACCACACACTTTCTTGGGGTCCAGGTGGGGATTTGCATGGCACCACTCTGAACACCCTGAAAGAGCAAACAGCTTCACATGACCCCCAGGTTTGGATCATCCAGAAATGATAGACAATGTTTTAAGATCAGTGATCCAAAGATTGAGAGCAGCCTAAAGTCTGAAACGAAAGTTAGATATTCAAGTTATACAAAATTGGCAATAACCAGAGAATGGTCCCGTGGGCCTGATTCTTTGGCAGAGTTTGCCACAGCCAAGGATTTCATATTCTCTGTTAATTTATGTGGGCCTGAGCCCATGGATGTAGATGGCTGAAGTGTTAAAAAAGAAGACAGGAACTTCATGGTTCTATCGGAAGAATCTTCGAGTACTGAAGCAACTTTCACTAGACCAGAGTGACATAGTCTTGCATTTACTGAGTGCACATTATGAGCTTTAGACATCCCAGTCATTGTTTCCTTATCTAAAGGCCACCCTCCATTTCCAGGATGGGAAAGTGCACCCTCTACCCATGTTGTCACTTGAATCTGTCCAGTTGTTTTGTGCACTGAGAATCCCTGCAATGACTGATTATTCATGCTGCGATTGGGTCCTTCCCACCTTGCATCCTGGTGGGTTTAAAATCCCAAATGATAAGTCACTGAGTCAAACCTCAAAGTTGGCTAGAATCTAGGTTTAGTTAACTGTACCTTTCAAATACTTGTTTTTCCTTAAATTAGGTTCTTTTTTTTTTTTTTTTTTTGCGACAGAGTTTTGCTCTTGTTGCCCAGGTTGGAGTGCAATGACACAATCTCAGCTTGCTGCAACCTCTGCCTCCCAGGTTCAAGTGATTCTCTGGCCTCAGCCTCCTGAGTAGCTGGAATTACAGGCATGTGCCACCACGCCCACCTAATTTTGTATTTTTAGTAGAGATGGGGTTTCTCCATGTTCGTCAGGCTGGTCTTGAACTCCTGACCTCAGTTGATTTGCCTACCTTAGCCTCCCAAAGTGCTGGGATTACAGGTGTGAGCCACCGCGCCCAGCCTAAATTAGATTCTTTGTTGGCTGATTCCCTTTTGTAGGCATCATTTATAACTTTGCTTTCATCAGATTTGCTGTCATTTCCTATGCACAGTGCCAACCTCTTTGCACACTTGTGGGTTTCTGGAGAGCCTCTTTATCTGCTTCTGTCTTCCTCAAACAACCTTATTAACCTTGTGGTGCCCTTGCTTTTTCCAGAAGGCTTTTCTTGCTAGCCTGTGTTTGTACTAGGATTCATCTGACTATTCCTGCTCTGGCTTTTCGTGCAAGAGAACGAAGACTACTTTCCCCATATCTTCTTGGTAAAAGGAAAAAGGAACTTGCTTTTCACTAATCCAAGGTTTGTAGTTTTCATACATTTCCTCCAATTCAGAAAAATGGGAAATTGATATGTTTTTGCCACCTCTTTCATAAACCATAGCAGTGTTCACTCCTGGTCCATCCCCAGATCAATGAAATAAATTTTTTGAGTACAAAGGCCCTATCCCATTCATCTCTGTGGGTCCAGCACTTAGTGTAGTGCCTGACACATGGCAGGTGCAAAATACATGTTCACTGAGTGGGTGAATAGATAAATTGAGTGAGTGAGTGAGTGAGTGAGTGAGTGAATGTATAAATGAAGAAATTGAGATGGGGCACGTATTGAAAAATTCTAATTGATCATAAGTTATTTGCTCATTCAAAAGTGGTTTAATGATAATATATCTGGGGTTTTCAAAGTTAGTGATTTTCTTTGTCATTAATACTTAGAGTGGAAGTTCTTTTGAAAAATACAAAATATAGTTACAAATAATGTTTTCAAAAATAGCACTAATGTCAGTAACATAATTTCTACTTGGGAATAAGTTTATTAAATAAAAAGAAAAATATAATGTTCATTTTTTAACAAATCACAAAGATAAGCACCGAATTAGCCATTGGCTCTCTATATGTGATTCAAATTTGTATGCTGATTCTAAAAGGCAAATATAAATGCCAGTGAAAGTAGCTGAGAACATGAATAACTTGGCTTAAGTGGAGTTTGCTATGGAAAAATGCAAGTCCATTCAAATAGTAATAGAATGCGCTGCGATAAGTGGACTTATATTGCTGCCAAAACCTTTATAAATATATCAGCTTCCTATAAATGAGAGAAATCAAACAGTAATTAAGTGAAAGTTCAAGTTAATAATCAATTATATGCTAAGCAAAAGTTCTCAGAGCAGAGAAAAGGTTAAGTTATTCTATGGATTGTCAATTTCAGTTATTTAAAATCATACAGTTTTCAGGTCTGGGGAGACAACTTTGCATGGTGTGAACAGAAAAACACAATATGCATTATGCAAAGACATCTAATAAAGATAGACGTATCTAACCAAGCAATGCATATTATAAGCAGATTTCAAAACTGAGGGATTTCTTTTTCATCAGTAAAACAAATCACAGCATGTATAAAAGGTTAGTAAGAATAACTATATTTAAATTGTGCTTTGATTTAGGGAAATAGAATTAAACCTGGAAGAAAGTTCACGCTAGTCTCCAATGCTAAGTCAGAGAAAATGAAAAACCTTTGGTGGAATCTGCCAGGACTCTGTGGATTTCAGCTTTGCCAAGATTGTTCTGATAAAGCATCTGGTTTATGGGTAAGGAGAGGTGTGGCCTGATGAGATAGAAAGGGTGTGTCTTGTTGCTTTAGGATGAGGCAGCTATCTCAATTATGCTATGAGGCAAAGCCATTGACTATGGAGTGGAGGATAGCCCACCAGCACAGCACAAAACTCATCATCTTGGCTTCTCCGTGTTGGGTTACAAGCTCTAATAATCTAAAGATCCTACACAGGCAGTTAACTTGTAACTAGCTTAATAATTGCAATAAAGCAGCATTAAAATAGCTTCAGCATAGGCAGGAGAATTGCTTGAACCCAGGAGGCAGAGGTTGCGGTGAGCCGAGATCGTGCCATTGCACTCCAGCCTGGGTAACGAGTGAAACTCCGTCTCAAAAAAAAAAAAAAAAAAAATAGCTTCAGCATATTTCAGAAGTAAATGTTACAAGATGAACTCAATAGAGACAAACCAACTGACCAAAGACAAAATCCTTTCTGATTTTGGGAAATATTACTGGCACTAAATCATACGTTTAGTCACATACAGCTTGCTGTGTGTTCTCTGTTGTTCATTGACATCAATTGACCTTTGACATCTGGAGAGAGGAGGAGAAAAGGAGGAAGGTCACATGTTTACTGTCTGCCAGGAAACTGTCACAGGTTTTGGATTGTATAAACTCCATGACATCAGAGACTTGGTGTGTGTTGGTTAACCCCGCACCTAAATCCATGCTGGGGATACACAGGTAGTTGGAATTCACCACTTGATTGAATAAATATTCATCTGCTGGGCTTGCTACTTTGGTCCTTGGTTAGGTCTGTGCCTGCAGAGAACTCCATCCGAGTAGAATTGACTGACTTTTATTTTAGCCAGTGTATCATGATTTCTTATTAGTTCATTATTTAAATTTCTATTAAGATTCATGAAATATGTTATTTGTTACATATGACGCCATTATAGTTAGTATTGACCAATCTTGTTTAGGAATCTTAGAATGACCCCTATGCCTTATTTCTGTCTTATGCCTCTCTCTGTCTCTGTCTCTCTCTCTCTCTCTCTCTCTCTCTCTATATATATATATATATATATATATATATATATACACACACACACATATATATATACATTTTGGGAGACACAATTTGATCTATATATATGGAGAGAATATATAGAGAGAGTATATATTAAATGCTTGAGCATCTATATAATGTATTATAGCATGTATATACTATATAGTAAATGCTTGATCACATATATATTTTATATATATAAAGGACAGTAAAGTATATCATTAAACTGTATCCTCTTTGTGCATATGGGTGTCATTATTACTGTAATAAATTAGAATCACACATACTCAACATTATCAAAATTGTAAAAGGAGAAGAGCTTCCTGCCATTGTTAGTAGCTACTTCTTTCCAACACTCCCTCCTAGAATATTTATTTTCAAGGTTTGGGAATTCGTTTCACTCTGTCCTGTCCATGAGTAGTGTTCAGTAAAGATGCACGTGCATATTGTTTTTGAATATATGTTTTAAACATGAAGTATTTTAGAAAAGGATGATGTTCTATTAAAGCAAGGTAGTGAGTCTTTAGAGTAACGAATCTTATGAGTAATTAAAGAATTCTGTAGACCGAACTTTTGGTCAGAGAAAAAAAATGGGAAAGAAAGCTGGAGAATTAGCTTTATATGAAAAGAGGCAGGTTAAGACTAAAAAGGCCAAGTACCTGGGAAACCATTCATTAGAAAAATGTGCCATTCTCTGTCTTTGGAAGTCACAGGATATACCTAAAGAGACACTGTGATTTCATCTAGTTCTCTGTCACCCCTCTGAACTGTCTCCAGAGGACTAACAATCACAGCAAACATTTACTAAATGCTTGATCTTGAGATTGAGTTCCTGGCACTCAGTAAACAGTGGTTCCCTCCCTTCCTTCCTGCCTGCTTTGAGGAGGAGAGTCCCAGAGCCTCATGGACTGGAGTGATTTTTTAAATGCCAAATAAGGTAGTCTACAATTAGATCAGAGGAAAAGACCAGTTTGAAGAGAAGGGAGCATGTGTACTGTGGGTGAGGAGGAGGTCTGATCCTTACGGTAGAATGTAAGAGCCATTTTGGAATGGCCTTTGGCCAGCAGCTGCTGAGCATTTGAACTCATTTTTGCATTCCTTTCTCAGCTGATATCTTCTTCCCATCAGTGGTGAGTCAGATTCTGGCCCTGACTTTAGTGGCAGACACCGGCCAACTGACTGTAAGCACCACCCCTGCCCCAAAGGTCCTCTTCCCTTTCAGAGATCAGAGATCTTTTCTCCTGTAGAAGTTCTACATGTAGGTTCTGGGGGAGTCTAGCTGGACCCATGGGAAGCCATTCTCAGTCTCCTGCAATACGTCAGCAACTGGCAGATGCTTTTCCCTATATTAGTGTACTTGGGCTGCCATAGTAAAATACAACAGATGGGATGGGATAAACAACAGAAATTTATTTTCTCATAGTTCTAGAGGCCAGAAGTCCAAGATCAAGGTGCTGGCAGGGCGGGTTTTCCCTGGGGCTCCTCTTCTTGGCTTGCAGATGACTGTCCCCTTGCTCCCTGTCTGCATGGTGTTCTCTCTGAGCATGTACATTCTTGGTGTATTTCTCTGTCCTAATCTCCTCTTGTTCTTCTTGTAAGGACACAAGGATGCCAGTCATGTTGGATTAGGGCCACCCTAATAGCCTCATTTTACCTTAAAGGCCCTATCTCTATGTACAGTCACATTCTGAGGCACTAGAGGTTAGGACTTCCACATATGAATTTTGGGAGACACAGTTTAGTCTATAACACTCGCTCAGTTACTCAGTCTTTTTCCTGTTTTTAAAGACTACAATTCTCACACACTTGGAACAAAAAACTAAACAAACAAACAACAAAAGCAATAGTCTCAGAAATCAGAAGAGCTGGATTCGAGGCCAGGCTTCGCCATTAACCAACATCTCCCTTTACCTCCGTATTCCTGGTCACTCCTGCTCATGAGGCAGGGATGAGACCACTACTCATTTTTCTAGCCTGTTGGGGGGACAGAGTGAGAGGATGTGTGGGGAGCCCTTCACGGCTGTTCAATGTTGACCTTCACTTATGTGGGGCCTCCTGGTCCAGTGGCTTAGAGTGGGCCCTGGAGTTGAACTGGCTGATCCAAATTCCAGAGTCACTGTCATAGGCTGATTAACCTTGGCTAGGTGATTTCCTTCCTCTGTCCCTCCGTTTTCTTTCCTGAAAAATGGGGATGAAAGAAACCCAAATCTCACCTTGAATTGTAATAATCTCCACCTGTCAAGGATGGCCAGGTGGAGATAATTGAATCATGGGGGTGGTTCCCTCATACTGTTCTCATGATAGTGAATAAGTCTCACGAGATCTGATGGTTTTATAAGTGGGAGTTCCACTGCACAAGCTATCTTGCCTGCCACCATGTAAGACACACCTTTCTCCTCCCTTGCCTTCTGCCGTGATTGTGAGGCCTCCCCAGCCATGTGGAACTGTGAGTCCATCAAACCTCTTTTTCTTTATAAATTACCCAGTCTTGAGTATATCTTTATTAGCAATGTGAGAACTAATATAGTAGCACTGACTTTATAGGCTCGTTGAACAGATTAAAGAAGTCAGCACTCACTAAAGCTGTGTCACAGTGAACAACCAGCACGTGCTTCCTATGATTATGTTTTGTATGGGTCATCACCCTCTTGTGCTCCCTTCCAGTCTAGCCCTATTTCTCACATCCAGGGCCTCCTTGGTTTTCTTCTGAAGCGGGGTGTCTTTAACAATGGTGGTGGCCTTGCGGTTCCTCAGAGATGAGAGAAGTGGGAAATTTCCCCAGCCTTGTGCCCCAGGGCCTGTGATGAGGTCGAGTGTATTAGTCCACTTTCATGTTGCTGATAGAGATATGCCCAAGACTGGGAAGAAAAAGGTTTAATGGACCGGCAGTTCAACATGGCTGGGGAGGCCTCACAATCATGGCAGAAGGCAAAAAGGAGCAAGTCATATCTTACATAGATGGCAGCAGGCAAAGAGAGAGCTTGTGCAGAGAAACTCCCATTTTTAAAACCATCAGATCTCATGAGGCTCATTCACTATGATGAGACCAGTGCAGGAAAGACTTGCCCCTCACAATTCAGTCACCTCCCACTGGGTTCCTCCCATGATGTGGGAATTGTGGGAGTTACAATTCAAGATGAGATTTGGGTGGGGACACAGCCAGCACATCATTCTGCCCCTGCCCCCTCCCAAATCTCATGTCCTCACATTTCAAAACCAATCATGCCTTCCCAACAGTCCCCCAAATTCTTAACTTATTTCAGCATTAACTCAAAAGTCTGCAGTTTAACATCTCATCTGAGACAAGTCCCTTCTGCCTATGAGCCTGTAAAATCAAAAGCAAGTTAGTTACTTCCTAGATACAGTGGAGGTGCAGGCATTGGGTAAATACAGCTGTTCCAACTGGAAGAAATTGGCCAAAACAAAGGGGCTACAGGCCCTATTCAAGTCTGAAATCCAGCAGGGCAGTCAAATCTGATAGCTCCAAAATGATCTCTTTTGACTCTGGGTCATGCTGATGCAAGAGGTGGGTTCCCATGGTCTTGGGCAGCTCCACCGCTGTGGTTCTGCAGAGCACAGCCTCCCTCCTGGTTGCTTTCACAGGCTGCTGTTGAGTGTCTGCAGCTTTTCCAGGCACATGGTGGAAACTGTTGGTGAATCTATCATTCTGTGGTCTGGAGGATGGTGGACCTCTTCTCACAGCTCCACTTCTCACACAGTGCCCCAGTAGGGACTCTGTATGCCCATCTCCATTTTCCTTTCTCACTGCCCTAGCAGAGGTTCTCCATGACACCAAGATAGCAATTGCCCTTCATGAAAGGAAGCTGTCTCACTCTGCCCATACTCACTGACATGTCCCTGCTGGTGGCCTGGAGGGGCACAGGACAGAGAGGAAGTCTCTTTCAGAGATTTCATGATAGTGGCTCTAGAATTTGGACCAGATAGTTTAACTCCAGAGTCCACTCTCG